CTAGTAAGACGACGACTAAGCGCTAGAGCGGAGCGACTAGACCTAAAGTTAGCTAACGCGGTCTAGAATAATCTAGAATAGAATATATACCCTCTTACGAGGCGACTTAGAGGGAGAAATAGTAGACCTCTTAAGAGATCTATTAGTAGCGCGAGATAGACGGGGGGGGATAGAGTAAATCCTCTCTATGGCCTCTATAGCTAGAATAGACTCCCTAGAATAGGTAGCCTAGGCGCTAGAGATCTCGCGGCGGCTAGAAAAATTAATAGGTATTAAAAATAATTAACGTACTTATAACTTATACTTTAATAACCTCTAGGAAGAGCTTATAGCGCTCTCTAAACTCCCTCTATATAGTAGATAGGCGACTATAAGGACCCCTAAGGGTCTCGCGGACGCGAAGGTTATTATATATATCTTATATATATATAGGAATCTAAGAATATATTAGCACGGACTACTTTAGATTATACTAGATTAAGATAGCCTATTATACTTACCTATAGATAAGTCTTACTAGTTATGGTATAGCGGCGGTAGTAGGTAGGGAGCTTAAAGATTAGGTATATAGGCCCGTCGCGGTTAGTAGAGTAGTAGCTAATACTAGAGTTAGAGCGGAAGAGATATTTAGAGCTAGTGGCGTAAGCCTTAATATACTTAAAGTATATCGAACCGTAGTTCGCCGTTTTCCTATGGCGTAAACCACGACCACGTTTAGTATCTTCGGCGACCTAGGCCTTATTATTACTAGGGCTAGGTTTAGAGCGAATATTAAGGTTCTAAAAGGATCTAGAGTAACTAAGTCGGTCTATATTAGACTAAAAAGAGGAATAGTATTTAGAGCGAGGCGGCGAAGGCGTAAACTCTCGATTATCGTCTATAACGAGATCTTCTTTATCCTCTAAAGAAGGTAGAGTAGATAGGCGGCGCGAGTAGGTATAGGTAGGCTTTATAGCCACCTCTTCCGCAATACTAGTACTAGGATTACCTAGATTAGAGCGACTAGTAGCCACGTTAGTAATAATAGTAGTAGTAGCCTTAGCTACCTTCTTCTCTAACTTAGAGCGCGCCTTTACACTACTACGATAAGTGGATTTTTTAGCTAGTATAGCTAGGGTAGAGATAATCCCTTTAGAGCGAGTCTTGTGAGAGGAGGAGATAGGCTTAGGAATAGAACTAGTATTAGATATCTATATATACACGTTAGCTAGAGATCTAAGAGTAGAATACTCGTTTAGCCTTAAAGGCGATTAAAGAAGCTAAATTAGTAACCATAATAACGCGAATAGATTATATAGGACCAGCTCTAATAAAAATGGACCACTCTAGACCCGAACGGATCTAAACTAAAGGAGATAGTATACGAATTAATGACTTACCTTAAGAGTAAGGTAGATATACTAGAGAAGAAAATTTAGAATAAGAGAACTAAATATAAGCTTAGTTAATATAGCGGTTATATAACCCGCGGAGCTACCTCTAAGGTAGTAGCCATAAAGTAAGGGATAAGCGCGTGTATAAATAAAAGTGAACTAGAGCTTAAGTTTACTAATATAAAGACTATTAATAATATTATATAGATTTAATTAGATACACGTATAAACATAACGCTTATGGAATTATAGATTTATATATAGCTAAGTACTTCGGGGCGAAGCATAAAAAGAAGAAGGATATTATTAGGGCTAACACTAGAATAGACTTAACTAGAATACTATAGTCTAGTACGGTCCGTAATAGGTGGACCTAGGGTAAGTTAGCTAGAATAAGCGAGACCACTATATAAGTAGGCCGTACACACTTAATTCCTACTCTTTAGAAATCAACCTCGTTAGGAGAGTAGACTACCCTTTTAAATATATTCCCGAATCCTCCTATGACCTGTTAGACTACTATCCTACGTCTACAATCCTTATAACTAGAAGCTAACTTAAAGTGGACCTGAAATAGATCGGAGGTAGATCGGAGGTGTAATAAAGATGTTGGCCTTAGACATTCTCTATCTAGGCCTTAGCGATATCTAATACTTATTTCCTCGATTCTATACTAATTCTTCCAAATTATATCTTATTACTTACTAAGTCTTATAGATTACGTCTATTTACCGTTCTATATCTATGTATCTTATATAAGGTAACCTAGTACTATAACTCTATATAATCTATACTTCCGTAGCGCGAATAAAATCGGACCTCTCTAAAAGAAGACTTAAAGTAACGATAGTCTAAGATTTTCATGTAGCCATCTTAAGGGCGTGATATAGCCATACATAGTATGAAGTCCGTACCATATCGTGATGGCTAATTAGCACACTAGCATATATTAGATCGGGCAACTAGAATGCTCTACTATAGCTAAAGGCCTGTCTCTCGGAAGGCCTATCGCGCGATAGATACTTATGAGAAGCCGAAAGATTTATTATCTACCCAATGGAAAGCCTAAAAGGCTAACCTTCTCTATGAGAGGACTCGTTCTTGCCCTAGATATTAACTTATATATATATGCGTACTACGAATGGGCGCTTTTAATGGATATATTTAGCCGTCTAAAGTACATAATATAACTATGACCGGGCAACCTAAGTTGTAAATCCTTGGTCGCACCATAATAAATCTCTACCCTTCTACTCTTATAGAATAACATACGTGTAGTTCGTAAGAGTCTAGTAAATGGCTACAAGCTCACGACTCTGTTTAGGCTCATGCGTAAGCGGATGCGCGCCATTACCATCATGAAAATCTCTGTCCATAGTAATTAGCCAAGAGACGATTAGTAGTTGGCAATCAATCAAGCCAGATAATCTAGTCAACATAAGCGAGTAAGAGACATCGAAAGGAAAGTAAGAGTAGAAGTAATAGGGTAAAATAATAGTCCCTACCTTCCTAAAGCTTCCCGCCGGTATGCCTTCACGGCTAAGACTAATTAATAAGGGGTGATAGCAGGGGTATATCATCTAGGCGGAGTGCTTCGTCACGTAGGATAGTATACTTTAAATGCACGACATGGGCTTATTTTAGCATAAGGGCTATATCTCATGATTTCTCACTTTCATCGAACGACAAGGACTTCCAGCTTCGATCTACGTTACTCGAGGCTATATCATCGATATACAACATACGCCATTCGTTTTGTCGCAATCCTATAGACTAGCTATGGGAGTCTCATTACTCCTACCTCCTCATTATTAAGGCTAGTAGCATGACAGTGTCGACAAGCGTCTAGGGGGTACTATAATAGGTAGCATGCGCGACGAAGATTTGGATCATGTGCGCTACCTCCCGTTTGGGCTCAACTAGTATAGCCATGGAGAAGCATATATCGTGGCTTTAGCTATTCAAGATCGTCATACTAGACAGGGTGCTACGGGCATATAAAAGAACCAGCGCAAGTCTAACCAAGATGCTAAGGTCAAAATAAGAGATGTGGACTATAATGCTAATAATCATAAACATGCTACTCTTGAGGATGACATTGCTAAAAAGGCAATAGTGGGTATCTTAACCAACCAGAATATCACTATGATACGAAGAGAAGTTCCAAGATATCATCCAGGCTCGGAGCAAGCCAATGTGTGGGGAGCACGTTCGAAAAACGGATCAGACTCTTAGACCTATATCCAATCGTACAACACACTATAATATCTATAATCTTAGAACTAGAGAAGAGTTGCTTCTTATCTATTACCCAGACACTGACTAATTCGGGTTCAACTGCTTTCAGACAAGCAAATAGCATCTTTGCCATTCACCTTCTGGGTGTCGTAGTCCATAACGTCCGTTTAACATCGCATACCCTCTGTGCCTCACGCGGAACTATCTAACTTTCGCCTCACGAAATGACAAAGACAGTTCGAGTAAAAGCGGATTAACCTCCTAAAGAACACTTTAAATGACCCAGCGTATAATCTCTATGATCTGCCAAGGACACGTATCTATGGATCGTTCTACGCTGCGGTGGATCCCACCTTCCTACGTACCTGTTCCGAACCCTATCATCCTCTTAGCGCGAGCGCGGGCTTCGCATACCTAGGCCGTGTAGTCGACATGCTGCTAGACTGCCCGCCGTATGGAGCTGTACCATATCTATTTCATGGTCTGGCGCGCCTCCTTGGTTTTTAGGCACGAACACTCTTGTTCGATTCGTGTGCTATAAGATATGTGTATCGACCCGTCTTTCGATCTCTTCCTCAATGGGGCCGTGATGCCATGCAGCCACCTCTGCGATACTTGGCTCTTACTACTATTGTTGCGCTGATAGACGACGCCCCGACAGCCTTTATTCCTATTAGTGGTCATGACAACGTCTGCTCGATCCGCTTTGTTGAGACATTACGCTGCTGGCGCAGCCCCTCAATGCCCTACTCGTCGTGCTTGGTGATGACAAGTGCAAACGCCTGGGCAGCGCTGGTTTCCCTCTTCATGTTGGACGCGGCGGCGGGCATGCCGCTTTACAACCCTGACAAGATGTGCGCCAACGCGCGATTTGACGACGTTGCGCTACTCGCCTCCGTGTTAAGTATCAGCGCCTGACGGTGTTTGCAAACTAGTATTTGGTGACGGTGAGGGCGAGGGGAGATGGTTGATATGAGTGTCGATAGTATGGCAGTGCATTATAAATAATTACTCCATCGAGCGATGAGAATACTAATAAAGGAGATTCGGAGTCGGCTAATCAGGTTAAATACTCACAGTACACCTTTGTCTCCACCAACTTAAACGCACCACCTTGCCCTTCTATCTAGCTATAGTATAATATTAAAGCCCCCAGCCTGCTCATACGGATTCCGGCGTATACTATAGCCATCGATTCTCTGAAGCCGACTTGCCGGCGTTCCTCATTCAGCCTACACATCTCCGCACCCTCCGAAGCCTCTCGTAGCATACACATCTCAAAGGAAATGTTTATGGCATGCTGTAATATACCTTTCCTGGAGGCTAGTAGTATATACCTATATTCGCCTTAGGATAGTATCTCGCCTAGCTTTTAGCGCAAGTGAGTTCTCACGTTTGATTGTCGAAAGTTATAGCCCCCTTCTTGTTATTCAAGACATCTAGGCTCGCTTGTGTATTAGATATAGCACTTAGTGGATCTTGATAGGTTCCCCTTGTCCCATCCTGGCCTCTCGGTCTGCGATGGTAGGATAAATTGGGCTCTGGGTGTGGTGAGAGCTTAGTGATGCGCCAAGTTATATGTGCGTTTGTGGCTTTGAACAGCGCTTCCGTATGTGCTGCGTTACTAGGTTCGAAGGGATAAGCCATAGTAGCGTGTGCGTATAGGTTCGCACGTGCCCTTTGTGATGTCCTTGTTAAGATATTGCACATACGAATCATCGTAGCGCGAGAAATTGATCCATATCTCGTCGGAACATTGGGAGAGCGATACTCGTCTAGCAGCTGGATTAGAATTGAAGTTGGGGAGGAATGCTGCAGTTAACGTACTGGTAATTACACGGCTTATTACTGATCAGCTCATGCTTTGCGATGTTATTGTAGGCTCTAAGATGGGTAGTCATCCACGCTACCAGTTGTGACATCTCCTGTAGTTCTAGCGCTAAGTTCCAGTCCGCATTTGTGAGGGCTGTCTCGGTTGTTAGACCTTTCTTACGCAAGACCCTCGAATCTCGCGGGAAGGGCTTCACCTCAGATACAGCCTGCTTGACGCCAGTAACTTCAGTGAAGGTGCTAGGTGGAGACGCTTCTGGTTTCAGGAAGCACGCACCGTCGATACAAGCTGCGTAGCCATATGTGCGTCCGGGTGTCGGGTAGCGAAATCGTACTCGGTCTATACGGAATTCTGCTTGTTGTGTGTTTTTCTCGAGAAGCAGAGTGTTGAAAAGAATGATAAGCGTTGCGTTAGGGATCTGTTTATGTGTAGGCGGTAGGTCGTCAAAAGCATTGCTGTTCGTCGAGGAGCGACCTACAAATGGCAAGACGTAGTTTGATGGATCATACACGACTTGGAGCTTCCAAATCCTGGCTGTGGTAAACGATTCGGGGGCATACGGCGGGTTCCTTATGGAGGCTGGTGTGAGCTGTATATCATCTAGAAGTCCATCCCAGCCCAGTCTTGATTTACATCCGCGATAATCCGATGATCGTCTAGCTTGGCCTCATTCAATCATTCCTGTCCAACCAACTTCTGTTTTCATAGCAAAATTCGTCAACGTTAACGGTGTGGAGGAGCCACGCAAAGTTTAGGTGCCCAGCTTGGGACCCCCGTGATCTTGAATCCAGACATCTACTGCTCCTGTAATTCCGAGAATCTTCTATGTCTATCCATACGTGTGTTTTTTGCATCATATATGCGAGAGGACCGGGAAGTGAAAATTGGGTCTGATGTGAGCTTTTTGCAGAACTTCTAACCGATGCTTTTAGCCTTGTCCCCACACGATTGTTTCGTCTTTGGATCCTAGGGCGATGCTGAGTCAAGGGAACCATCTCTTTTTTTGTTGAGTCTCTGAACAAGGAGACTGGCTACGTTGCGTGACATGGTGGCTCGGCATCCCTGGATCACAGCTATAGGAGAGATATGGTGCTGCAAAACTTGTGCGATGGCGAGGTAGGATGAAATCGCAGACATGCGTAAGAGAAGATCGTCTATCTCGAAAATCGTATAGCATGCCGTCCTAAGTAGATATTACACACGGATGGATGCTTGCTAATCGATACATACTGGATACACCACCGATCAGTAATGGAATGAAGGCATTAAACGACCAGTCTACCTCGGATACACATCGGCAATGGACTTTGTTCATGAAGCCGAAGGCCGCGTGTACCCTCATATCGCAGATATCATCTAGCTTTGTGAAGCGCTTCTGGAGCAGCCGTAGTTCTAGAGCTCTCGGTACTAGGCATATTCTTTTAATAATATGAGGGGATACCGATTATATAGTGAGTGGAGGAGCGTTTCTAATGGTGGCTCGAAGGACGAGAAAGGATGGCACCGGGCGAACATCGTTGGTCCTATGATGAGTGTTCCCTTTTCGAGGGAGTCAGCATCCAGGTCGCCCAGGTACCTAAACCTTCCAAGTCGCGGTATTCGAGAGTGCGAGCATTCTTGCACATGATGTCTCCCAATGGTTCGAAGCACCTACCGCGCTCAATCCAATTGCTCCCATGCTCAAAGGGATAAACGCATATCTGAATCCGAAGGTCGTTACGCGTTTACTCGCAATCAGTTTCATTGCAGGGCTGTTGCGTGTGCGGACACTGTAGGTAGCATCTTCAAAGAGTCTAATAGGTATCCTCTAGCCAGCTGGCGAGCATGAACAGGACGAGTTAGAAGGTAGTGAACCATGTGCGTATGTAACACGTTGACGAAAGTTTGTCGAAGTGCTTACTCTTGCCGATGAACTGATTCTCCTGGTCGGCAGTGTCCCTAATGGTTCGTGAGCTCATTAACGTACAATTCCGCAAACAGAGAACGGCGTCTGAATGTCGCTCGTTGTTGGTCTTGTGGATCTGTTGCCTGCGGTGCAAGGCGACAGTCGAAAAGGCGGCAAGGCGGCAAGGCGGCAAGGCGGCAAGGCGGCAAGGCGGCAAGGCGGCAAGGCGGCAAGGTAGCAAGGCGTCTACGGAACCTCAGCATGTATGAATCATCTCGAGTTTCTTCTGCTCCAGCTGCATCAGCCCTTTGCTAGACCGCAACAACGACGGCGACAGTGACAGCGACACTGACAGCAACATCGACAGCAACATTGACAGTAATATTGACGAGAACGTCGACAGCTACAGTGACGTCCAGCTACAGCAACGCCCAGCTTACCTGATGCCATATCGCATTGAAGAGGCCTCGCGAGTCTAGACGACCCTCTGGTCGGCTGGTTCCAAAGAGTAGATTGGACATTGCATCTTCATCTAGTCTTGACGCAGATGGGGTATCGCCATGTTGGACAGACGCCTGCTCTGCTGACCTACAGGGCATAGTACACAAGGTGCCTCACCCCGTACTGTCGTGGCTGTTGCTTGGAATGACCAAACGTTCTTTTCTTCGCGTCTTTGTGGCTTGACATACTCAGGGCTATGGATTCCATTTAGTTCACTACCACACCCTTCTGACTCACAGCTTCCTCGACTCTTGGCTCCCACGTCGTTGGATCCGACAGGTCTGCTATACTCCAGCTACTGCTTCAAATGACGTTAGAGTTTTTCCCGTTCGCTATAATGCCACTAACGGGAACTCCTTAGAAGAATACCTCCGATACGGCATCCTCTGAAATCTCACCGCGTCACGGAACCCTTGTTCGAAACGAAACACTGGAATCAAACAATCGCTCATCTTGACGCGCTCAGAATCATCCTCGAGCAAGAATTCAGGTCAAATGGATTTGATAATGAACTTGGCCGACTTCCTTACGTAGATATTAAAGAGGTATTCGATTCTATTAGGCTACGTGGTCGCGAGGATCACAATCCCCCGTTCAAAGGATTACCGTACAACCTCGTCCCTATGGACTTGGAGACAGCAGGTCATCTTACACCAGATATAAGGAAGTACAATGAAGAAAATCTAATGGAAGGGCTGCATATGTCAATGGTATTCACTGAAAGGCTCGTGAGGGTCACAGCTCAGACAATACCACTAAACTACGCCGGAATAGACTGCACACTCACGGCTGATGATGACAACTTGTGTATGGGACGTCGCTATACATTCTCCGTCCTGGATGGATGCACCTGGAAGATTGACTCAGTTTGCATATGTGACACTGGTAGATCCATTAGTGGTGATGTGTGCATCAATCGTACGTCAAAGTTGAACAGACTTAATGTTACTGAGGTGATTGTCTTGCTTGGCCTCTTGCGCGAGCTCTGTATCTAGCATGGGGTTAATAGTAGCCAACCTGAAACCCTTTCAGTGTGTACCATGCTTCCAGAGACTTCCACTACATTACTGATTCGAATTCTTAACCCATTCTATATGTATATGGATTCGGAACAGTCAGCGTATTTACGGCTTCGTTCTATAAGGAGTCCCGCGAGATTAGTATACAACAACAGGAAGTTTTGGAATTGTGGTCTTCTTCGTCTAAGGTAAGTTGAGATACTCCTTGCTTAATCTATCCTAGGATAAGGATCACCAGTCAACCGAGGACCCTTGGCTCACCAGAGCCATCAAATACCAGTAGTCCCTTCAGGGTGAACAGCGCTTCTCTTCTTGCACATCGTACGTTGAGGCACTCAACTATGTCACCAACCACTACAAAACCATTTCGAAAGAGCTCGCCGATTCGCGCTGGAATGCTATCGTCGAGACCTCATGGAAGCTATGCCACGCCGTGTCAAAAAATGCAGGTACACGTCAATTTCCAACACCGCCTCAGTCTGCGCAAAGGTGCTGGACCGAGTCTCAGTGGCCCGAAGAATAAAGAGATACCGAAGAAGATGCGAGTAGGACCATCGTGATGCCCCTGAAGCCCATCATAACACGCTGAAAGTCAACCACGGTCCTAGGAAGATCAAGGAAGAGGAAGAGGAAGACAGACTGCGGGTTATATGGAAATACTTCACTGTTCTCTATCGCTGGACAATGATTAGCGCTGCATCGAAGGCCTCTATTGACGGACAGGATGTCGCTTCCATTGCTTCCAATCCATGCAAATACCGCAACCCACCACAGAGCATATGGCGAAGTGTTTGCACTCGTCTGAGAGAAGCCGTAGCAAGCAACTCACCGGATCTCGTCGAAAAGATCAAGAGTCGTATCATATCACCGACGACGTGCTACAAAAGTGTATAGCGTTCTTAGAATACAAAGACCGAAAAACATCTATCTTGAAGCAATACGTCACCCGAAGAAATCAAGCCCATGCCAAGGTTGACTTGCGCGAAGAACTATGAACTCTATTACCCAAAAATGTCAAGGCTGGGACACGGGAACGATGGATAGACCGGCCAAGGGTGGCCCAAGCTGGATTTTGGATACGACACTTCACCAGAGCCCTCAAGCAGTAATGAAGAACGACCTCTTCCAGGCCTTGCTGCATGGCCTCTCGATTAACGATCTGGAGCTCTGGACGTTGAGGCTGTTTGGAGATCTGAGCCTCCATACATGATGTAAAAATGTGGCGCTGTGTAAGATCATCCCAGCTCTCACGTGCGAACCAGAGTAGGCAAGTTGACATGAGCGTAAATGTACAGATTCGGGACAGGACTCAGACAACTCATACGCAGGATGATCAGAGCCCTCGCGCATAGACTATGCACCAGGAGCATACGCAATAGAAGATAAAGCATAGGAATGATGGCTCGGCCTATGACTCGCGCGTGACCGCACCAGCATTCAAGCCAAAGACAGGCGACACCAAGACTGTCTAGCCTGTATAGAGTCGTCCAAGGACATGTTACTCAATGCGGTCCTGGAAAAAATTGCGAAGCACAGAGTGAGGCCTGGAAGACAGACACGTCCATGCGGACGTTGGCAGGAGATATAAAAATGATGGCATGGTCGCATTGCATTTTACACTCCAAACATAGCGTTGCAGGTGGTGTATAGTAAACGATAATTCTGCTAGGCAGAGTGCATGGAGTACTTTTAGAGTAGACGGATCTAATGATTCGCGTACGCTCGCATCGGTACCGTGAGGCCATGTTACAAGCGTACGCCGGCCGATCGCCAGCAGACTGGATCTACCTATAGCTTTGAACATTTGGTGTTGCCCTAACGGTCAAAGTTGTTAATTTGTTAACGTCCGATGCATGAGTTCTGGGAAGCCGACGTCTCAACTTCTATATAAAAAGGTTCATGGCCACATTGGAGCTGGCCAGTCTTTCTCGAGTTAGTGCGTCCAAGAGTACGTTTTGCGTATGCATAAACGTAGCGTTATAGACATTCGCAGGCATATTGGCCATGACTATAATAGTCATGGTGGTAGACCATGCACGAAGACATCATTCTGAGCACTAAAGTCCGAAACTTGGATATCGTGTATTGATATTAATAGGTTTATGATCGTTTGCTACGGGCACGAGGGTTGGCGACTTATGTGTCTTCCTATTTCTTCTTGTGTTCACTCTTGTCATTGATTAATACTGTCTTTACATCGTGGAATTTGCCGGTCGTCGCGAAATGTCCCATCATATTTCGCCAATTCCATATCAATGTATGCGACCGGCGGTGTGGCCTCTAGTGAGTGATATCAGCTACTATGAAAATGACCTCCGCGACTTGTCAGGACTGTGTATACTGTGTTGGGCAAATCGACGGTAGGACAAAGTCTCGGTGCATTTAGTAGGCGGTGTGCTTTGTGTGCACGATGTTGCGGTGATGGCTGTCCAAGTACGTTCTGATATGAAAATCACCAGTATTCTTGCACTTGTTACATGTCTTTGTCCAGCATACTGGTACCGACTCTGTTTATAAGAATGCGTGTCGCAAAGAAGTGATTTGCCTCGTGTGATATTCGCGATCAATGGGGTGCGCATTGGGAATTACCAGTGAGACGAACATCCATGAGTGAACATCAGTAAGACAGAGGTGTATCCAACGTGTCGATCCGACGCGAGGTGCGAAGATGTGACCGTTCGTAGAGAAGAATGCTCATACTAAGTCATTGAGAACGAAGTTAAAAGACTTTGTAGAGTCATGTTAACCGTCGAATGTCTCCTGTCGCAGCGTCTCCGTCTCAAGCGTTACACTCACACTTATAAGGATGTATAGCATGATTTAGGCAGTAGTGGAATGTGATTTCTTCCCATATATATCGACTGCATCTCACAGACCCCTATATACTCGCAGGCCAAACTATATCGGGTGTTTGCATGGTATATTCACTCATGACAGGTTGCAATGTCGGAAGTTCTAGGGGCATATAAGGGCGGACGCAACGCTGAAGCATCGACATGATCATCTAGTTTGTCTACTATCTTCCAAGGATATGCCAGGCATCGCGCAGCAGAGCTCGCTGTTTTGTAGTATACACTGTGTAGCGCCGTTCATGCTGAGTATTTATATGTCAGATGGTCTCTGATATTCACACGCACGTCGGTGGTGGCTTTAATGATTAAGCAGTCTATTCTTCGTCCATTGGGTACGGAATGATAATACTAAAAGTGCATACAAACGACTGAGAGTTAAAATTGCGCGTGTCTGGGCTTTTTCTATGTTCACAATCCGTTGTCAACAGTCAGCGGCTATACTGCTACGAAGTTGCACAGCTTAAGATATGAGTTGGTTAGAGAAAGCAAGGGGTGTATAACTTGGAATGCCTTCCACGTTGTGCGAGAGTGTGTTTGATATTGAGCGGTCAGTCATTCATGGATCGCAATTCTCTCCAACACAAAGGAAATCAAGTCTCCACCTGATCTGACGTGTTGACCTCATGAACCAGGGATAGTTCCATGACTATACATCGATAACTTTATTGTTCCCTGCTAAGGGCAACAGCAGCTTCTCTCTTCACGTCTGGTATCCCTTGAATAAGGCGGTGGAAAGTCCAAAGTACATGAGCGCTCGGTGATACACACGACCGCTGCCATAACTCAAAATCTATCTAGAGATAATATCACTAGCCTCATGGCTCTATATATGTCTTCGAGGAACGATGCGATCGTTTGGCGTTTATCGCGGAACCGATAAAGCATTTCTCGCCCTAGGAGGCAAGTGTTACATACTCTTCACACCGCCAGCGCCCAAAACTTTGTGGACATACCCTCAATATTACTTAATCTCGCCCTCCATCCTCCCGGGCACCTCATCCAACAGCCCCCGATCGCCCACGATCTCCACAAACTCCCAACACGCCGAACTCTCGGCTACAAGATCTGGAAACTCGGTAACGACACTCCTAAGTAGACTCGCAACTGCTGCCCTCAAGTATGTCCCGAACCCGTGTCTGTTTGACTGATGTTCGCGCATCAGGACGATCTGGGCCTCTTCTGCTTCACGCAGGATCGCAAGACGTGTGGAGTCGGAGTCGCGCGCGGTCGCTTACGAAACTTTCAACTGATGCGCGCCTTGTTCGCGGCGGCCATGGCAGAAAAGTGAGAAGTAACAGACTTCCTGTCCAGACTGTTCAGCGTCGTGTGCATGCTTTTTGGAATCGGATGGGTGCGGAGGGCGTAAAGTCATCGCATTTGAAGGACGGGCATTGCATGCACCCATCTGACACTCGGCAGTGATGAAACTGATACGCTTCTTGAACCGATTGAGCGCTGAGCTAGGCTATTGATCGTCAGTATTGTGAGAGCGCTGAGCAATACTTAGTGGAGCACGTAGGATAGTGTGACAAGATAGACCTTCTTCTATCCGTATGAACTGGTAGATTGGAAACGGCACACTCATGCCCCGAGCTCTCATCCCGAGCTGAGCATCCGGGACCGTGGTGATTGGAGCTGGCTAAGGACGCTGTTGGCGATCTCTTTGGCGGTACCAGACGAGTTGACTTGAGCGAGACCGTCTTCATAGTTTTAGCATTGGGCGGCCGGCAATCTCGAGCTGTAACGAAAAAGCCGTCATAGCACGCGGTCTCACACTCGATGTCGGCGAAAACGTTGAGCAGTTCCCCCACGGTAAGATGATTCGCACCATCGCTAAGGACGACTAAGTTAAAGACAATCCATCGCATACGTTGCTAGAGTGGAGAGGAAAGCATTCAGAGACAAGGAGTGATTGAGCGATCGGTGTGTGCGAGAAGATGCTCGGAGACTAACAAGCACAGGAAAGAGAAAGTTGATATGCATATCAGGTTGAGGAGAGAAAGCCTCCACTTGTCCTGTCCGGGAGCATCGCCAATATGACGAGCTAAAACAGCGTCCGAATGAATGACAGGGTAAAACATGCCGCTCTTAACAAGCCAATGGGAACTTGGATGAAGTTCCTGTCCTCTTACTCAACCCACGGAGGCTATCTGTACAAACTCGTGCCCCTTATCTTGTTATCACCGCTCAGGACAAACTCGTGCCCCTTGTCTTGTTTCCACCGCTCAGCGTACATCCCACGGAAGTATGCATCTCAATGCCACGCTCGTTCCAAAGTCGCTCATGTATACGCGTCGCATCCCACACAATCGTCCCGTTGCCCTGTAGCAACCACTCTTCCCTCGCAAACGCAAACAACTCGGCCACATCCTTCCTTCCTATTGGCCGTGTACATCCAAATTCAACACCACGCCCCATAACCCCAAACTACCGGCCCTGTCGTCTTGGACGTGTTGGGCATAATACCAGGAGCAAGATACTTTCTATGATTCAGTGGTCCAAGACAGCGCTAAATTGAATGCTTCATGCCGTAGATTCCTTGACCCTTGTTCCTAAATGGACAGTATGCGCATTATTGCATAAGAATGAAATGCTCGTATGTGGCAGCTTCATTTATGTCTGTTCATAAGAGAATAGCTTCGCTTGTTAACGGCTTGTGAGTGTGTGGGCTGTGCACGAGTATAACACGCTTTGACATTATGAACTAAACTATAATTTTCTCTCAATGTTGGCGTTTGCTCTTTGTATGTCCATCATACAGCGAGCGTGGACTCCGGCACGCAAGCTATGAAGTATAGGAGACCAATGAAAGGAAGAATGGCTTGAGATGTTTGCCTCGCTCCAATGGCCTTTCATCATCGCTGTCGCTATCACGGATCCAGGCAGCAGTGATGCTCGCCTTGTACTACACCATGCTCTTCTATGGGGGCTATAAATCCAAGCAGGCATGCTAAAACCAACGTACAATCACAATCGCCCCTCCCCAGCTAATCAGAGCGGTTGGACGCTCTAGGACCATCCATGTCAATCAAGTCATGACAGCGCCGAAGAGGATGAACATGTCGGAAATGATATGTGTACGATCTCAAAGGCAGGAACCGGAGAATCTCTCGTCTTACAAGCTGTCATAAGTGAGACTAGGATTTACTAACGCTCTGCTGTCTTGTTCTTCTGGCATTAGGCCGGAACCGTTGACTTGGTCTCTTTTCTCGTTGCCGCGACTCCTGCCATTCGTTTGGCGAGTAATTCTGATTTATCTCTGTGTACCCCTTCATACGATCTAGAAGATTGGAATGTTCTTCTAAAGACTCTACCTTGCATTCATTGGACGGTGGAATGATTTATCTCCAACTCACGCTCTCGAGCACACCGACACTAATCCGCGAGGCGCTAAAGACTTGGAAAGCACGGCGCAAGACGGATCGCAGAGGACATGAGGGCGCGACCGATAGCTAAACATTGGATTTCGCCGTCTGAGAGCTGTACGCCTTGCCGACACACTGTAGTTTTGTAACCTTGGGGCTGTGTTATGATCTCATCAGAAAAAGCCGCGACTTTACACGCCTCACAAATTTCGCATCGGTTCTTCAATACCGAGCTTCTTCGGCTATTGTTCGATTGGAAAAAACAGGGTTTTATGGAGCGATACTGAGACAACCACGTAAATCATCAAGACTGGCGTCTTTATCTCCTGATCACCAATCAAGGGAACGGTCTTGTTAGCCGTCGCGGTGAAGCTGAAAATATCCAGCGTTCCTTTCTTGCTTTGTCTGTTAGCGAATTCAACGCTGCAAAACTCCACCTGCCCACGGGATACCTTGAGTTCGCTCGCACTTGGGTGATTGAAAACAGTTGATTTGGTCTGAGTGAGAGCAGGGACGCGGGCAAGGTCATTAATTTCCTTTGCAGTTTCGGAGCGCAAGCGTGCTATCTTGTTCAACGGGACAACGGTATAAGTCCAGATGTACGCCAAAGTGACAACTCTGCCAGGTGGAGCATCACCTAAGGCGACCTTCTCGATTGGTAGAAGTAAGATGATCTGTATTCTACATCCATCGCAAAGTTACATAAAGCCCCGTCTCGTACAGAGGGCTGTATGCTGCATCACTGTCTCCCAATGTGTCACAGCGTTCTCCAAAACACTGTTTTCTGTTCGGACAGCATCTTGGGAAGCTTCCGATGCCGCAGAAGGTGTAGGGCCATAATAGCCTATGTAGCCTTAGTCTACGGCCAAACAAAGAGTAAGACCAACCGCTTTATACCGGCGATGAACTGGAACGTCAGGACTGTGGGTGGTCTTCTGGTTTCTAGATGAAGAAAAGTATATAACGATAAAAAGGTTCGAGTAATAAGATAAATTCAAGACAGCCCTAATAGAGCTCAATGCTAATATCATGATAGCGCTAGACTGGCGTAATCTTAAGAATCGGGACTATTAGTTCAGTTACTAGTATTAGAATTATAAGTATTAGGAAAGATGGAAAATTAATAAGCATCGAGGGAGTGATGGGGTTTTAGGGTATAGTGTCAGAACATGGAATTAAAAAGTTAGTCTAACCCCGATGCCACCTCTATTATAGAGAGATGTCGCATTGAAGAGAGAGGCCTACATAATGTCTTACCGGTTAGGAAGTGTAATAGAAGCACGAAATGCAGCATAGACGACCCAGGAAGTAGAGACATCGGGGAAATACACCTGACATGGACGGTGGTAATCCAGTAGTTTTCCAGTGGACCATCGAATATGGTTGTCTCCTGCGTTCAAATCTTCCTCGTTACTATCGTGCGGCATGTGATAGTATCGCAGCATAAGGTAATAGCATACGAGTGATGAATGCTGTGAAGCACTTCTTTGTGCCAGTTGTCTTTGATTGGGGCAAAAAAGATGAAGGGAATTAGTCTCCTTATGCATTGATTGCAACTAGAATCAGACACCTCATGGCCACCCCCAGCTATAGCCTCGCGCTGCTGAAGTGTTATATATAGAGATTCGGAAGTGATAGACGGTAGTGGTAAGGTTGTTGATTGAGCAAGGTTGCTGATCCCAGCCTCCAGCTCGCTATCATCGCTTAATCAGTGCTTAATCAGCGCTTAATCTGTGCCTAACTCGTGCTTATTCAGCACATAGTCAGCGCATAATCTGGGCTTAGTCACTGTCTAGTCAGCGGGTCGTTATCCTCCAATCCCTAGCTAATTAGGTCAAGCCCATTCCTCTCGTCTTTTGTCTGTTTATAATGTCATCAATTCCCGCTTTATGACCATCTCATCAATTACCATGCAAGAAACGATCCCAGCCTTTCCGCCTTCGCCGATGCGCTCTAATCACCAGGATACAAGAGACGGTTAGAAGTGGAATAATGCTATCACGCAGCCATGAAAGGAGATATGACGGAAGTAAGACACCAGGTTGAACAACTCTTCCGTGAGCATATCTTTTATAGAGTATGCCCACAACGCTATTAATGACTCCTCCTGTATTGCGGGTCGTTATGAGCTAGGCTACTCTCTTTGGTCCTGTAGACAATAACTTCGCTTATCCATCAGTCTCTACGCCTGCCCTTTCGCCCGCCAAATAACCTTCTATGATGGCTTTCAAGATCTCCTCCACATCAGCGCATCAAGTACGCGGTATGCTCCGATGAAGACCAGCCTCTTCGCTTCCTCCTCATTGCGATCCCCGACATCTGCCCTGACGGCTATCGCTCTTGCACTGATTAGCCTTGCATTCAACTCATCCAGACTCTGCACCCCCTTGGCCAGAATTGCATGGGTCTTGTCGTGCTGGTGAAGATGCATCCGCGCGAGCTGCGGTTGGGTGTTGTGCCAGGTCTGGGCCAGTCGGCATTGTAACTCGTCAGGTATGGGTCTTCTTCTGAGTGGATCCACGCGCTTCGCTAGGAATGCGGAATGGAACTCGCTCGTAAGAGCCGCAGCTTTCCGCGAGGAGTCCACGAAGCAGAGATCGTGTAGGAGTGCTTTGGCTATCGACTATCCCCTCGTGCTGACCTAGTCGCTCGAACTAAATGAATTGACGCTATAAAAATGGATAAACAAACTCATTGGGCTTAGAAAATCCATCCATGTTTGAGGTGTAGTTTACGATATGAACATGATTTTGTGTGGCTGGCCTCTGGTTTTCGTGACTGGTGAATTACCAGCGATAGATGATAGGGGAAGACAAACCTGGCCAGCACAAAGCACACGGCTTTGCCGCATCTGAACCGCTTATACATAATCGGTTGCCTGTGGTAGCCGAAACGAACTTGCGAAACCTCCATCACACTACAAAGATACCTTTCCTGGCGCCCAAATCAACTGTGCAGCGTCGCCACACACAGCGAACTTCTGGCATCGTGAGTTTCCTCTCCCATTGCTTCGCACCCAACAGCCTCAATTCCGAGCTCCGTGTACTCTGCGAACGTGTACTCGCACTCAGGAGTCTGAGTCTAGCAGGTCGCGAGGCCTTACTGCAGGATGCCCGAGTCCAGCAGGTCGCGAGGCCTTACTGCAGGATGTCGGAGTCGCCATACATGGTGGTTCAGAGCTTGAACCAGGTGCAACTTGGCCTGCGAACGTCCGAGGTACTCCTACTCCTGGTTCCGGTCAAAATTCTGTGGACGTCGATGCGCAGACCAGCATTAAACAGGACACAATCCCCATGCAGACGTACCCCATCAATTCAATTATAGGACATATACATGGTTTATTGTCGGTCGCAAGCGGTCGAGAGACAGGTGCGCATGGCTGAAAACCCTCTCCAGAGACCTAGAGGACCATTTAACGGGGAAGAGGCTCCAACATTGACTGAAGCAACCCCATCGCTCCTGGAATGTCGATATTGGAGAGGTGCTAGGACTCACGCCAGATTCAGATGTTGTCAACGTGATCTTCGCGATTCTGGCCGACGGCTCTATTATCATTCCAGGATGGAACGTCCTCCTAGAGTCCACTCGGTCTATAATCATAGCAGCACTGTAGATGACGACTAAAAGCATCGACATAGACCCCAGGCAGCCTCAGAAGGGTTTCTACGACGGCTCCCAGGGTCAAGAACGCTAACTGATGGCGGAGCACCGTTGGTCGTGCTAATTTGTCTTGTTAGATATCAAGTCAGGGTTGACCGCGCAGTACGACGTCTATTTTGGACTTGGCAAGCACAGCTTCTGGGAGTTTGTTCGCAGCGTGCGTACAACACTCGAAGTAGGTCTTGGAGACTTGGAACATTCCTGTGTCCCGGTCCCCAGCGTGTCTCAGCAAACGCCTCTACCTCTCAAGTCACACTAGGAGGTGTGGCTGTTACTACCTCATGGGGTACACTCACGTCAACGATGAGAGGTGGACTCAGGACGCAGCAGGAAGGCAGCACGGTAGACCATAGTATTGCACCCCACAAAGTATGTACTGCAACAGAACCCATTGGGCTTGACACTGACAAGACTGCGCAGCGTATTGAAACTGGTCATCGCTTGATCCTGGCAAGGTCAGCAGGGCCTAAAGCCAGGAAAGATGCGACGAGTCTTGGTTGTCCTGATCGCCGCAATGCGTCTCTAAGCGTGAAGATGGAGAATGCATCGTCAGAGCAATCCTCCTTGTGTGGTTCAGATATCATGTCCATGGCTGACTTATCCGAAGAACCTTCCTCGGTGAGGATGACTCCATGGTTCTCGACAAGGGAGGAGGTCGAGGCCGTCACCCGTGAAGGCCTGGAATGCCTCAGGCAGGCTCTAGTGCTATTTCAGAGGCCGAGAGGCAATGTTAATAGTGGGCAGGGCTTGTCGGATTGGGATGAGGGGGACGACTCGGATAATGAAGACTATCGCCCCCATGGGAAGGGAAGAGGAAACGACCTCCGCATAGCGTGGACGGTCAAGGACCACCAAGAGATATGGACGGGCAGAGCATGCGGTAAATGGTGGACACAGCACGGAACAGTGCAGGCCATTCACTCGCTGTTAAGGCTATCGTCTTCCCTCTTAGCATCGCGCCGTTATACACTACGACCACGACGAGCACACAGATACTACGCGGTTGTTCGAATCTCGCACGCCACGACTTTGCTCGTCGCAATGGCGAGGCTGATCCGATCACCACCCAGCCGAAGTTGTTGTCACTAGTTCGATCATTAGCACCAAACAGTCAGTAGAAAAGGTTATGAAGACAATGCGCTTAGCAGAGGTACACATCGTATTACATGTAGTGAGCATCCGAAGTCTTATTATGCCGTCTCTGACGCATTCGACTGCACTAGAAGCACGACTTACATTATCCCGCGCGACGTAGGTAGCAAGAAACGTGGCTCAAGAGCAAGGAAACAACAGGAACAATTGGCATCCTACTATACCATCGAGACCAAGTGTTTACACATATAGTCGCGTTACGCGAGCTCAAGCGTAAGATGTATAGTCTGCACAGGCATCAGAGGATGATTACTCTGTTGTTATGGCTGAAGCTCTTACCAATCGCCGCTCGTTTTTGTCCTCAGTCGCCAATGGCCCTGATGCCCGTATCTGTTTCTAGATCCGAAAATCTCGCGAAAAACACATAATCACAAGGACAGGGCTCATGAGGAATACAACAGTGGAGTAGTGGTAATCATCGACGTGTTACTGTCCCTCATACACACTCGGTCAGTCACTAACTGCTCTTCCTCGCCCTCATGTAATGGTCTAATCGGTGGAATCACGTACCAAAGACGAAGTACTCGCATTGTACCTCCTAATAACTTGCGACCACCGAACCAAGTTCTGGACCCATACCACTGTATGTTGTTTGCTTCTCTACGCATCATCCATGTACCAACAACAGACCCAGTGCAAGAACAGGCTGATGACGAGAGATATCGCAACGAGCACAGCGAAATCAAACACCATCACATACAGAAAGAACGACAATAGATAAGCAAGCAGAGCTACCACGTGAAAGAAGGTGATATAGAGGCGTGTGATTCTGGCATTTGTAGCGCGGTTCTTCAAAGCCTGGTTGGGTAGGACTGTGAGCACTATCGCGTGATCTGCGTATAAACGTCCTCTCTCTCTCCTAGCCGGGTTAATCCTAATTCTAGTGTCGAAACAATGCTCGAAGAAGCTGGAGGTTCGCAATTCGATTTGTTATAGCCGCTTATTTAAGCGCGCCGCCTCTGTTACTTAAGCTTGCCACCTCTGTAATTCAGGGGCGTTGAAAAGCCGAATAAGGTTAAGAATGCGAGGTTCGATCGTCTCCATAAGACTGTGTAGTAATCTAGGTTTGTCGACAAACTCAATCATTAGGCCTTCGCTGTATTTCAGAGCTAATATCAAAGCGGCTATGGAAATACCAGTGTCGTTTATGTGGCTGCTAACTGCTTCTGCCTTGAAGACTTCAGCCCCACTCTCGACGATGTCACGTTTAGGACCAGCGCATTTTCGAGTAGAAGTATCCCCGTTAAGATTATCTTAAGAAGTAACTTTAGCTTCGAACTCTAAGGCTGGGCTTATGCGGTGGGGGGACGAATCGTAGCGAGTGCCAGGGTTATCCTATACCCCTTCATTTGTTTTGATATTCGACGAGGCTACTGGAAAAGGTTCTATTAGTATTGGTTTAGCATGTCCAAGTTAGTTTATCTCTTTCCATACCTCGGTGCTTAAAAGCTTTGGAATAAGGGTTCTAAAGTCTATGCGTGATCGAATTGTTTTCTCTACGATAATCTACCTGTAATATGCGAGGCTCGACGTTGCCAGTCTTAACTTAAAAGAGATGTTTTATTATTGATGGAAGATTACGACCGAAAGAGATTGATTAACATCGCTCATGATCCCCTAGTCATGAAGGCTTGCTTCTAACGGTCGTCGAAACTGGCTTAGCAACTTGTTCTATGACGCCTCATAGATATTTTTGTCTCTTGTTTGCTCGCATGCACTCCAGTCGCATTTCGATATCATCTCTTATCGCCTGACTCTCCTGTTGTCCTCGCTTAATCGAATCTGAATTCATCTTTAAGTGCCATTCCGGTGTATCATCTCTTTCTCAGTCTTACTTTCACCAATAGATTCATAGCACTTCGCCGTACGGTATCGCACAACTCCAGGTTCGCCATTATGGCACGCTACATGACTGTTTTTCGTTCAATGCCTTCGGGACCTTGAGAATCTGGTAAGAGTTGATCCCTACCCTGTCGTCGTTGACGTTGAGGCAGCACCCCATTATAATGCCCGTTCTCATGTACCCGTAGGGGTCCGCCAACGAGCTCCTACCCATATACACGTTGAAGATGCCGTTCTCGCCCCTGGTCACGGACGACTGCCAGTAGGTCTTGGACATCATGACCTTATACATTTGCGACCACGACGTAGGCTTGAGCATCATGCTGTCGTACTTCTTCCCGCCCTTGTGCGCGGACATCTCCCTGACCGTCATGGTCGTCAACATGGCCGGGTCCACCTCGCTGCTGACGTTGCTCCTGACCCCCATCTCGTATGCGTTGTTGAAGACGGTCTGCTCCTCGTTCGACTCCCACATCTCGAACCACCTCTTCTCCACCTCCTCGGATCCCGCCACGGTCATAGGCACCAACCCCCACACCTCGTCCCCGTCGAAGTCCGCGTTCGTTAGTCTACAGAGCTCCCACGGGATCGCGATCGAGTCCACCCCTTCCTTCCGGCGCCAACTTCACCTTAAGCGGCACTGTGCTGTTCTTACCCTGCGATGGGCATCTCCCCACGATGATCGTCTCCCCCACCTCGATCTTCCTCACGGAGCAGTACCCGTCGGGCGAGAGGTGCATGAAGTTCGCCTTCGACAAGACCCTCCTTGAGACCTCCACGTAGCCGCGGTCGAGCAACTTCCACGGCACCCCATTCCTGAACGACACCGCTAGGGGGGGCGACGCGACGAGCCTGAAGCTGTTCACGGGCCTGGTGCCGTTGTTCTGCTTCCTTAAGATCCCGCGCTTAGTCGCAAGCTTCGAGTAGTAGTGGTTCGCCAACTCTCTGTTCGTGATCTCATACCTCATGACGGCCTGGTTCTTCAAGCTACTGTCCGAATATGTGTCCTCATTGCCTCTGGCAAACCCGTATGGTATCATGTAGCTGTCCAAGTCCGCGTCGTAGCACAAGTGCCCGGGACAGTAGTCGTGTTACTTGCACGGGACTGGGGACTTCGCGTCGTTAATGTCCGCCTTGTACACATTCAGGTTCTCCACGTTGATGTTGGTCCACACGTACTTGTGTACCGACCTAACGAACTTGGCCACCCCGCCTCAGACCAGGACCTCCCTCGCCGTAAAGGGCGTCCCATTCTCCATGGTCTAGTAGGGGAGTGGTAGAAGGTCTTCTAGGCGTTATAAAGCAACCGAGGCATGCGAACCTCCTCATGTACTAGATGGCGCTATATTTTTCGATCATGTATGTCGTGTTGTAGACCCCTTCGTTGCGCCAGACCTAGAACTTCGAGAAGAACTACGTTAGTTCGACGTCCTCGTCCCACGTATAGTCCTACTCGGTCTTCGGGCAGGCCGGCTGGTAGTTATAGACCGTGATGACGTCCATGTAGTCGTGTAGGTCTAGCGACCACTTCGCGCTCTTACCTACCTACTTGACTACGTCGGTCGACCGCAGCTCGTCGTTCGTAATGTATACCTTCCCGGGCTGCGCGTGCTTACACAAGATGACCTTCGACGAGATGTTCTACTTGCACGCGAGGCACTCAATATAGCTAATATGGCACATCTTGTAGTGGTCGTAGTTCTAGTAGCGGAAGACTGTCTTTAAGCTGCTCTGGTAGTTCTCGAGGTTAATAGTTAGCGTCAGGGGTAGCTCGTAGACACACGCTAGCAATACGACACTGGTCTACATACACGACCGTGGTCGACTAGAAGTAGCCTATTAACTACTACCACTACATCTAGAAGAACGGTACGATAATAAGACTAGTACACGATGGAGGCCACCAACCGACCCAACATCTACTAGCTCGGCATATTGAGCAAGGACCCCGAGAAGGCCGAGATCAGGCACATGAGGATGATTAGGGCGGATGAACCGGCCGAGATGATAATATGTAAGTGCAGAGGCCCGTCGGACTCATTAAGGAGGGTGATAACGAAGATGAACGACACCGGGCTATACAACAAGAACTCGTTCAAGGCGCGCTTGATTGACGGGCCTGTGGAGCCGACGAGGGCGTGCAACATCACCTCCATGTCGGACGACCCTTACGAAAAGATCGAGATGAGGTTTAGCAGCGGGATGGCTAAAGCGGTGTGGAAGAACGTGGAGAAGAAGAAGCTCGGTAGGGCTGTGGTAGTCACGAACTACAAGGAGCAGTCCTACACACTCTAGTAGGGCGAGCCATATAACACGAACGTGTAGGTAAGGGTCAGGAATGCTAGGGAGAAGACCGTGAAGGTGCCCGTGACTAAGATTAAGTTTATGCCTAGCTTCATCTAGCTAACTTATTAGAGTTCGACTTCGAGGGGACGATCTATAAGGTGTAGACCTATACGAGTATGACTTAGAAGTCCCTTAAGATTAACATGCGCTCGGCGACTGCGCACTCGAACGCGACGGAGTATAAGGGCCACCTAGGGACCAGCTACGCGTGCGAGATAGAGTTCGAGAAGGACTACTTAACGAACAACTTAAGGGTGATCACGAGTTACAGCGTCTCCTTCCTAGGGAGCCACACGAAGATAACTAAGTAGATCAACCGTGACTCTATAAACGAGGCGAGGAACTTAGACCACAATATAGTGGACGTCTCCAATCTCGATGGGCACGAGGGGTACTTTATACATAAGGTGGACGGCATAAAGATGTATGTGTTCTACTACCACGGCGGCTATATAATCACCCTCCGATACTAACCTTATCATAGTCACGTGCAGGATGAAGAGCACCTACTTACTATTCATGCAGATTACGAATACCCCCGACGTCTTGGTCGTAGAGATGATACTTAATAGGATGCCCATGTACATCCACATGCTCGCTGGGAACGGGCGCGTTAAGAATAAGGCTAGGTAGTACCTCGGGGAGCATGGGCTCGAGACTTGCGTTCCGGAGATAAGGACGATAAAATTCTAGAGCTCGATCACGGAGGTCCTCAAAACGTTCAGCTACAGGTTATAATTCGACGGCATAGTCTGCGTGAAGCCCTATAAGACGCTTAGGTTAAAGCAGCCCACGGTTAACTTATTATGTAAGAACCGCCCTCTCGTCGCGACTAACTTAAAGGACAAGGTCACGTGCTATAAAGCCCCTAAGAGCATGGTGGATAACATCATTTACGAGATAACCGTGGTCCCCTTCGAGAACGACTCCGTATTACTTAAGGACCTTATAAAGAGGATGGGTAAGAAGAAACCCCACATGCCTAAGATAGTTATAAGGGCATTCATAAGCGCTTTAGGGAACACCAACTTGTCGACGATCTTATACGATGTCACGCAGATGTCGATTAAGATAAGGAAGGTAGTGTAAGAGCGGGCCGAGGCCCAGGCTAGTAGACGAGAGGAAGTTAATCGTGACGGTAGGGGTAGGGAGGTTCGAGGAGCTATATAAGATAGAGCTCGATAAGTAGTCGTACATCGCAATCAACCCCAACATTAACGCGCAGAGGGTGAGCACTAGGAGGGGCGTGAGGGTGCTAAAGTACGACGTCGAGCGGTCGATAATGACGTAGATTAAGGGGATCTCGAGAAAGGCTGGGAGCGTCTTGTACGACAAGGGCACGTTTTCGAACTTCCTGGCGTGCGGCGACGTCTTGATGACTTTGGTGACAGTAGCGCTGCCAGTAGTCTTCTCGCGGTATTACTAAACTCACAGAGATCTGTACTATGGCGGCCTCGAAAAGTTGCAACTCACACAGATTACATACTAAAAAGACAGTGGCTGGGCGCGTACTTCGGAGAACAGTCCCCACAAGGTTTTATTGAGAGATATACTCTTGACAAAGGATTGTGACGTTAGTCTATAGCAACTAAACAATGACATATCTATCAGTGCCGAGTTGGGAGGTTGAAATCGAAAGGCGATGAGTAGGGCCGTACCAGAGAGATCCATTGAGGTATGGTAGTCCATACAATAGGTAATTCGCATAGCCATAAGTGGTGTTAGGGACAATAGTATAGATAGGAAGATTGATCTTCATAGCGCCAGAGTTCTAGGCATTTGTGCTTTGATACTCTTAATCGCAGCTATTCTGTTAGTTTATGAGAGCCGGTGGCTCTGAGTGGCAATCATTACCGTCCTCTAATGGTTCCAAGTCAAATAGACCTCCATCGGGACTTCAATGAACTTGCGACTTAGGTATTCAAGCTTCCGGTGAACCTCTCGAGAATACGGCACTTCTATGGTTGAGGGACGTTGCAGCTGGATAAGAATTTCTGCTTCAGCAGCCCTAGCCTCAGCGATCTCTCCATATAGTTGTAGTCCCAGGGCTGATTGGTCCTGGAATTTTGAAAGCAGTACCAAAACTATGGCTCCTCTTTTGGTCCTCTTCGGTAAAGAATTCAGTCTATTAACCAGCAAATCATGATTCCTTTGCTAGGCTTGAAAGACTGCCCAATCTAAACTTAGAATCTTACGTGGGGTTTCAGTCCATACTACAAGTTGTTGACCTGCTCTAGCATCGTGGTCACTCTTAGGTTAGATGATGACTTAGTCAAACACTGTAAGATGATGACCCGCTCTGGCATCATGGATATGCTAGTGTTGGTCTGCTCCTTTAGTTTCGTAGTAAGCTCCGTTTGGGATGGAGACGCAGAGTGGTTCGTCATTCTCGAATCTATGGTATCATGTTACACCTATAGTTCCGTGGTAAAGCTCGATTCAGATGCTCCTAGGGTAGAACCCGAGGCGAATTTGTGACCTGCCCTCGTGAGGTTGAAAGGATTACCACCGTCTCTTTCGCCATCGTCTTCGAAGTCGGATGCCCGGTCAAGTATAATGTATTCTTCTAGACGAATCGTAGGATATACATTCAACGATGCCTTGCTTGGAGGCCATTGTATTTCGCAGTATTCTTCTATGGTGACATCTGCCACCGCTAGCGACTTGTGCATTCGATTAGGGAATACCACTTTGTATATATATAGCTATGGCCTGAATCCGTACAAGATCTACACGAGGGTTTAACTCTATCGCATAGACTATATGTTGACTTACGAGAATATCAGAACAAGAAGTAATAGGTCCCCCTTCTTAAGCATACGTGTGGCTGTTACACCACTCGTTAAGACTTAGGGTAGTTAGTGCCCAAGTATAGGCCATACAACAATACATCTCACAATATTTCGCATTTCATCCGACCTCACGAGTGATTGAGTAGTCTGACAATATAACACGACTATTTACTATCTCATCCGTTGGAAATACATAGCGACGAAGCTCAAGCAGCCGACAATCGACTTTATATGCGCAATCGGCATCCTAAACACAACCGATGGCGGATGACTTGTGCCGACGGTGATACGACTGAGTTCACACTTTGATATAGTTTATAGGTTGTCCTTGTTTCAGGATCCCGCAGAAGATGGTGTACCAATAAAGGAGCCGAAGAAGAGCGTATCCAAAGGCAAGCCCAACAACATGGACATTGTTAGGAGGGCGACCAGCAGTCCAATTCATGGATATCAGTAAAATCGACATCATAATGATGTCGTTCTCCACAAGACAGAGACTGTGCTTGATACCGCAGTCGCTGGCTCTCCCTGGAACAAGTGATTTTAACGGTAGTTGATACTTGATAATGACTTCTTGTACATAGCGATTGGCCGTGGCACGAATACCATAAACTTAAAGCAGAAGAAGAAAAGGCTAAAGACATCGACGTACAATTCCAAGCAGGATCGAAATACCCACGTGCTATCGATGTCGGGTCGAGGATCCGTCATTTCCTAGACGAGGTGTATATTGAAGGAGTTCGTAAAATGCATAGTACCAACCATATGAATGCCCAAGGTTGGAGCCCTGTCGGATTTCCCTTTCGCACATCGTACCATATGGAAGTTATTCACAAGCTGTCCTGTCGCCTATAAGCTAGGGGAAATTGTACAGTAGAAACGCGTAACTCACAGCAGGATGTGACAAGCGGCGGTATACCTCCCAATTCTTCTAACTCAGACTCATCAAGTGAGAGCGGTGTAACTGCAACGGTGGTGGTGTTTTGGCCGTCAGGAGCAAGTAGAGTTCATTCATGACCAAATGCATAGGGAACAACCGTCCTAGCAGTGGCCTATTCTTCTCTCTTGTTCTCGTCAAGACCAAGGGGCATTGACATGCTAGATATTGCCTTTCTCTTGAACTGTAACTCTCGTTGTAACTTGTACGTCAGCGGTGAGATCTTAAGAGATTCATCGCCTGTCTAGATAGCGTTCTCTCGAATGGTCTTGCAGGGGACGATGTAAGAAAGAGGAACTATTAGAAGTATAGAGTAAGCATAGGTGGCCTAATATGAAAAGGGATAGTTGAATGGACGTGGTGGGATGACGACTTCGAGGAGCACTTGGGTTGATCTTGGACTGCGTAGATGGAGGTTGATTACGAGAGTGCGACTCTGACGAGTAGTAAGACGAGGACGCCGAACACTCGTTCACGTCACCGAATCGTGTATCTTTTGATTCATTGACAACTGTTGGCGAGTCCTAATGTCTTGAGGCTACTAGAAGTATTTTACAATCTGTCCCAGACCGTGGTCGAGGCATGGTATCTTCAACAAATTTGCACTCTACCGCGATCACTGCTTGCGAAATGACTGTAGCAGTCACCCTTGAACAACTGGCAGAGAATGAATGATAGGTGAAGATCGTAGACTGAATTGTCAATGCACGTTTGTCTAACTTCTAATCCTTGATTGCATCGCGCATGTTACGCGCCACGAAAGGAACTACGTCTAATTGTTAGCTACGGTTCGGTAGTAGACAGGACTTATGCATTTCATAAAAATCAAATGCATGCCAAGACCCTAGAAGTGCACTTGTTTTGTTTCGCCTGCGAAGGACCACACGACCAACTCCAACCATCCCCACCAACTACTACCATTACATTCCTGTCGCAACGACTCCACGAATTTTAGAGCTAACGTGCGTAGTCTTTGATTCTCTTTTATAGCATGTCTGTTCAAGGACTGAAAATGGCGGACATTTTGCAAAGCCTAGGTGAGTGGAGGCTGGTTAGCTGCTTATTTTATGCTTACGGTTTGCGTCACTTTCGACATTACTTATATGTCGTGTAAATACCAAATCCTCTATTAAGATGAGATCTTGCAGGACGCTAATTTCTTTTAGAAGCTTAGAAAAGAAGGTTACCAGCACGCTCCATCCATATGCCGAAGCTTGGCTGGCGAAATGGTTTACCAGCCGCAGGTGTCGAATGACGTCTACAATCCGCCTGAGGATGATTATACTTGACTCCTTCAGTATCATCACCGCTTACACAGTCAAAGCAATCAGTATATTCTTCGTCTCAGAGGAGACCTGACATGAGCGTTACCTGGCTCCGTATCGTTGAGCATGATAGATACAACTTGGGGCCCCCTAAGGCTGTACCATGCTGATCAGAGGATTGTTAGCATGTATTGTTAGCATGAACGCGATGGATTATTGGGTAAGAGGTGAGTCGCGTCTCCCTCCATTGGGTTATAATGGACCTCAGTGTTAACAGATCACGGAGCTCGTGAATTCCGCTCAGACATGCGGACGACCACCATCATAAGTTCGGTGGGACTGTACGCGTACATGACGAACATTCCTAATCACCGTATAGAGGCTGTGCAGAACCATGGCCTCGTCACATTTCGCAAGCTTAACGGTGGGACATATTTTCCCAAGGATATATTTACTGGCTTCTTCGCAGAGGCGCGAGTCCTCCGACATTTGAATTTATCGATGACACAAGTACGCAAGACGCCTGGACACTGGCATACAAAGAGATATCACTGGACGACATGATGCTCATTCTTGTGAGATAGATGCTTGCTGGATAAAAGCCACGTCGAGACTCGTGTTCTCCGTGTGGGAGATGTATGATGATATCGTATACTATAGCCCTCGGACGAGTGCTTCTCGGGATCTTTCGAACAGAATGAGCATGGGTCTCAGCAATGGAGCCGTTGGTATGAAGAACAGTAATTGCCAATGGCAAGCGGACATCCGAGAGACATGTGGACCTCGCTGGCTTGAAGACTTGATACGGCTATACAGGGTCTTAGTAAGCACAAGCAGAAAGTTTACCACCTTCGACGCTGCGCCCGAGGTCGGCCCGGCATTTAGGCCTTGTCGCCTAAGGTATACACAACAGCCTGAGGTATACACTGCGGCCTGAGGTATACATCCGGCCTGAGGTATACACTCCGGCCTAAGGTATACACTACAGCCTGAGGTATACACTGCGGCCTGAGGTATACACTCCGGCCTGAGGTATATATTCTGCCTGAGATATGTATCCTGCCTGAGGTATGTATCCTGCCTGAGGTATACATTACTGCCTTACGAGAAACCTATTCATTCTCCTTCGTTGTCCACACAAAGGATCTTTCGGACGCATACCTATGCACTCCGACGACATGCTTCGAGCGTCCCGCCCCGACTTCAAGTACTGTGTCCGAAGCCCGAGCTCGGCGTCTCAATCTTGTATGTGCAGACATGCCATGCAATCACGAATATTTACTCTCCGTAACACGTCTTAGGCGGAGAACAAACCACATCACCTGGAGGGGACCATCCACAGGTGACTTGCGTGGGAAACAAAGCCACAAACGATCTTTCGCACGTGCCGCTCCTGGGTGCCTTTTCCTTCTTCCTCCATCATTCCCTTACGAGCCATCAATGACTCCACGTCGCATTCCTCTCAGCATGCTGGACTCAGACGAAGAAATGAAGCCCCCGAGCGAGATGAGTCTCTCATCAACACCAGAGCTCTCTACCACTCTACCAATAACTCCTCCAAAGGAACGAGAGGCGTCTCAACAAGAGCCAGAATCAGCGGCCGACCTCACCCTCACACTCCCGAACACAGACGCAAAGCTGAAACTCAAGCGCAAGAAGAAGCTCGCGCACGGCAAAAATTGCGCACAAGTCTGGAAAGTTGTTGTGATGAAAGATGCTGCCAACCCAGATGGAGTGTTAGGCTTCCGCCCAGGACAGGTTCTTGTCGTCAAGATTTTCAGTACGAAGTACTATGCAACACCCTTTACTGATAATGAGTCCGGTTCGATTACACGTTCTGATGTCGTAGAAGCCTTGAAAGCTGCAAACAGTCAAGAGGTCACCGCCCTACAACGTTGCAATGAGGAGAGTGTAACTCCAATATTCTACGCTAACTTTGATGATGATGCTCATCCCTATCCCTACCCAAGAGAGGAATTCCACAAAGTTGTTGTCATGGAATACATCAAAGGGTGCCATCTCGACAAGCTTCAAGCGTCCCCCGAAACTAAACGAAAGGTTATGATAAAAATTATCGACGGCGTCTCGAACCTTTGGAAGAATGGCATCTGCATTAGGAACATTCCACCACGCAACATTATCCTCCGAGAAACTTCGTCCTCTGAGCTTATTCCTGTCATTACTGATTTTGCCGAAACCGAACTCTTCGATGACTCCGAAACTCGCCCTCACCCTATTACCTACTGGATGCATCAACGCGAATACGCCGAGCTAGGTTACATCGAAAAGCCTATCGAAAAAGCGTATGCCTGGCTCTGCGGTGAGTACGGAAGTCAAGGTACAATCCAGGGCTGTAAGGCTCGGCAGTTGGAAGGCTACGAAAAGGACGACCCCGTTCCACCAAGGCCATCGTTCTTCCACGCCAACTTCTGGATCAAAGAGATGCACGAGGGTCATGACAGTGTGTACTGCCATTGGATGAGGAAGCTGGACGATGAGCAACGCAAAGAAGCTGAAACACAGAGAGACGAGACTTTACAAACAGGCAACATGGTCCGCGTCTGATTGAGTAATGAGTTGGACAAAAGGAATCTTAAACCAGTAGGACTACGCCCAGGCTCTACTTCGAGCTCTGTTGCATGCCGTCCTTGAGCTTCGTAGCCGACAACGTGTTTAGTCGTGTGTAGAATACAGACGTAAATGCTATGTGCGCGCGCAATCATCTATAGATATTAACCCCACTTCTTCGTTTCAACGCTTGTGGTAGACTTCAGCCTGCGGTTGGCTTCGTCTTGGCCACATCGTACTTAGCATCTGGATGAGGTGAGGTTCCCGTCATCTGATCACATGATAGTACGACGCCCAGCTATTGTGATTGACTTACTAACATTCCATAGATTCGGTGTCTACTGTCAGGGGATTCAGGCAGAGTGTGTTGTATGAGCACGCATTTATTCACATGCGAAGTGTGGCCTGATTAGCAACGTGACGTCCGGTCGTGCTCATGTTGTCTGAGGCCGAATTTCTCGGAAGCCTTCACCTTGATACTTGAGCAGCTGTCCACTCTGATCGTCTACAAATAATGCATCTTGTCCTACCACTTGGTGTACTCTTTTCTAGCCCAGTCGAAGGTTTATTAGACGCCCATTCATCCGGCGTTACTGCGTAGTTTCACGCTTCTTATCACCTCAAGGTACCGTCCAGCTACAAGTACCAGCTGGAGAGTGATTGACCTATAGCCCCAGCATGCTACCCATTCTCTTCCTCCCCCCGCTTTGGTGTCGGCTCTCGACCTCCTCGTGCGATTACGGTGTTACGTATTGAACTCTACTAGGCTATGGACACACATCAACTCAACTTATCGGCGCTATAAACACAAGAGGTGGACACTGCTAGGCAGGCAACTACAGATATATCAGCACAGGAGATCGGACATGGCATGGGCGAAGTCAATAAGGCTGGGTTACTAGATTTGAATGCATCGCAATTCTAGCTCGAGGTCTATTAATTCATCTCCTAGAAACACTATTCCAGCATAGTTAGGTCCAGACGTCGTGTCGAGGAATGATATTGACGTCCTATAACGACTCAGCGACAGATACAGTGACCGGAGCTCAATCAGACACTGCGAATTCAGCACTTCCAGAAGATCGACTCAAAGTAAAGCTGCAGAGGGCTGGCAGTTATGCGACAAGAGGGAGACCACGCACTCGCGCGATCGAGCTATGAATCTATAGTTAAATGCGTTATTTGATCAGGAGAAATTCAAGAAGACCTTGGATATTGTATGGATTTGTGGCAATACACGTTTTGTGTAAGCTCTGGAAGGTCTCGCTCACTCGTTCAACGAGGCGTCCCTCCTGGGCGACAGTGTCGGCGCAGTCACCGTGAACACGACGAACGATTCATGGCTTAACAGTGTTTTCGTTCCTGGGCTCTCACCGCAGGTTGGGTTTCGAGAGATCGCGCGAGCGGAATGCGCGTTCACTGGTGTTCACTGCACTAACCGGCTTGGAAATCGTTTCTTGATTGTGACAAGCACTCGATGCTACAACAAGCTGCAAACTCTCAGGCACAATGACTTGCTCCAGAGCGCTCGGCGCGTTGGGCCGGTGAAAATGCAGAATACATTTACCAGCAGCTGAGCGCTTGTTTCCGTAAATCGTTCGATTACGGCATTCGCACAAACAGATGAGCGATGATTGCAGGCGTATGTTTGCACCTAGCCACCCAAGTCCATTTATGGCGGTCAGATCTCCCCTACTTGCTGCCGTTCTAGAATTCTCGCCGGTAGCAACATGTCAGCGTCTTCCAGCATTTACCGCCAACTGCGAATTCGACAGTGTCTCAATCAGACATTACCAGAGATTCCGGACGAAACCAAGAGAGACAAAAGACCAACCAGACCATCCGAGCCAGCACGTCGTTGGGAGTTCAGCCACCGACATGCAGGTAGTATCTACTGGAGATCTAAAGCTGAAGCCGCTGAACGACGAATAGAACTGGTACCTAGGAGGGCCCCGAAAGAAGTCTCTCGCTTCGTGGGCCCTAAGACCGGAAATGCAGTCACCCTGTCTGAGGCTGATGTTTCTCATTACACCTTTGCATTTCTCACCACTCCCGTTATCATCTTTTTCGAAGTCGCGCTGTCACTGTCGGAGAATCCCAAGACTGTCAAGCTCTGCCCAATGCACGAGTTTAATCTGTCATCCCGCTCCCGCATCGACATGAGGCTGGCGTTCCAAGAAAGAGAGTCCTCGGCCATACCAAGCGATGATGACGACAGTGATGATGACGACAGCGATGATGACAACGACAGCGAAGAAGAAGGAGAAGAAGAAGCATCAGCCAACAGAAAGACACGTGAAGATTCTCTAGGGCTCCTCGAGCTCAAAAAAGTGGGCCGTATTGACGTCGCGTTGTTCAACGCAGCCAGCCATGATGCTCGGGCTGTGGAGGTGATCGGTAGCGAAGCCGATATCCCACCAGAACGTCTCAGACAGTGGCCCAAGGAGATCAAACATCCCAGGTATCTCCGGGATCCTGACACCATCCACATAACGCAACAGTGCGAGAAGTACTCTGAGGATTCGCCGCATTGCCCCATCGTAGTGCTTTTTGACTGGAGAACTATGATTATCCTGGAATTCAAAGACGTGGACGCGCCCATTGCGGAGAGTCAGAGCGCCACGCACTCCCTGCGAAAGGATCGCAAAGCTAACATCCTTCCGACACCTAAAATCACAATTATCGCAACCGAGAAGGGGGACGAAGACAATGCTAGAAAGGCCAAGGGAGCCATCACATTCCGTCAGGCGTTGTTAGGAGTGCTTGTGAAGTGTGGCGAGTACTATGGAATCTGGTGAGTATCAGAGGAAGACCATGTTCTTTGATCGAAGTTGGATAGTATCAGTAGCTGGTATAAATTATGCCCGTTTCATGGTCCACTCCACTTGTATCTTAGATGAACTCCGTGTCTTAATAGGTACGAATGATGCTTGATGAATTGCGTAGAAGCTGGGTAATAGTCGCAGTTCGTTTCTCTTTCGCCGTCTCTTCGTTCGACATCTCCTCTTCTACTAACTCTTTTCTCCTTATCTATTCTCTTGTCGTCTCCTATTACATACTCTATACACAAGATTCACATGCCAGACTGGCTAGGCTCGCACCCATATCCGATTTATGTCCTATTCGCACCTGGTATCCGCTGCAGGAGCACTCTACGGAGCTGTGCTCGACATTGTTAACAGGAAGGAGTACATGAGCAGCACCCACTTCCCAACCGGGACTAGTGGTCTTCCGCTTGCTTAAATAGCTTTCTTTTGAGTCTCTCAGACTCTCTTCTCTACACTTCATAATATATCCAATTTGAGTGTTCTCAACTCTACGAATCATCTTTGACACACATGACACCTGCGTCTGCCCAGCGGGTCCACATCCACTCCTCGCCCACGTCTCATCCACGTCTCGTCCATGTCCTATCGACCTCGCGTCCACATCATATCCATGTCTCGTCCATGTCTCGTCCATGTCTTGTCCATATACCATCCATGTACCGCTCATGTCCCATCAACTTCTCTCTCTCTCTCTCTCTCTCTCTCCGCCTATTTCACCAACTATGATTAACTATTCGAGTCCAAGCCCGTGTGATTTCAAGTATTGATAAACAGGATATCTAACCTCGCACAGGTAGGTAAGTAAACATCAAGACATCACCCGGATCCAGACAGCAGATTGAGCCTCCGAGATCAATCACATCGACAATCGATCAAGACCATCATCAACCCGTCGTTATCGTCCATGGCCATGACCATATCAAGCGGAAACTTCGAGATCTTAGGGTGTTCCCGTTTCCAATGGCTAACCCGTCCTAGCTTACGCCCCCGCGCCTTTTCGCATCGTACCTAGCAACGTCGTCTCCCCTATCATCACGCATATTTAACTGTCAGCGTGTTCAACGAAGAGACACTGCGAATGCGTCACAATGGTGTCGGTTATTATGCTCCCTAGCGCCTATCACTGTTCTTATTCTTATCATGGACGAGAGGTAGGTACTGCAAGGACTTGTTTTGTGTGTGAAGATAGAGAACAGCTAATGACGTAGATGGCAAAAAAACGTCACTAGGCTAGATCCAGTCGATCTCCTGTCACAGGCGACGCAACGCGACGCTACAACTGCACCACACAAACACCCAGACACTCCACGCTCCAGCATGCTACATTCACTCCTAGCACGCCAAACACCAATACAGCAAGCCTATAGGAGGCTCCAGTGGTGTCCCCCATGCATGCTGAAGTAGCCTGGAAGCCACAGGAACGTTAGAGGGAGTTGGGCGAGCTGTCATAAGTACGTTACTCTCTTGAGTCCTCCAGCCTCTATTTCAAAAGACTAATATAGTTAAGCCGCCGCTGCGAGTCCTACGGCGCCACCTCTCGACCAAATCGCGACCAGCCAAAGCACCCCATCCCGTACGGCAGTATCTCCAAAACCAGATCCAAGCAAAGATGCCCGTATGGATTCTCTGATAGCCATGTTAGGGAAGATGGCTTAATAGTCGGAGATGTAGGCCGATGAGCTAAAACTAGTCTTCAAGTGGCTTAGAAGGGTAGAAAAGCAATGATCCACGCCGGCCACTCGAGACACGGCGGAAGAGACGATGACGACGCGAATACTAGATACAGATCGTCTGTGCAAGGCAGGAGAAGCGCAGGACACGCAAGACACACAGCACACTCAGCACACGCAGGACACGCAGGACACGCAGCACACTCAGCACACGCAGGACACGCAGGACACGCAGGACACGCAGGACACGCAGGACACGCA